AGCGCCAGCAGTATGCAGCTCGGCGCCACGCGCGTGCATGGCCAAGACATGGTGGCATGGGTCATGATGGTGGGTACGCATCCAGATAGTCTGTGATCGCAGACATCAATTGCGATAGCACTTGGGTGCCTAGCCCAGTAGTAGCGCCTGCCGAAGTCCATTTCAGGGTCACGTCGCCACCGTGACTGACCGGGAGTGTCTCCGAGTTGTGCCGCGGTCGCCGGTGGCTCTGCGTCACTTCGCAATTTCCGGTCGCATGCTCGGTCGACTGCTTCTTGTGGGGCTCGCCGCGGCGTCGGCGGCGCCAATTCGCCCGAGTGTGTGCTACTCGCCGTTCCACCTCGACACGTACCCGCTGCAGCCGTGGGAATATTTGGACGCGCCCGCGCTCGCCGCCGGCATTGACGAGGACTTTGCCCAGATGAAGCCGTATGTGCACACCGTCCGGACGTACTACTCCAAGTACCACTCGGTGGACGTGACGCCGATTGCTGCCGCCAACGGTGTCCCGTTGTACCTCGGTGTCTACATGGTCCACGAGCCGTGGTACTGGCTCCAGGTGGCCGCCGCGATCGACGGCGCCGTCGCTTACCCCGAGACCGTCCGCGCCGTCTTGGTCGGCAACGAAAATGTGGCGCCGCACGGTGACTTTGACGCGGCGTTCATCGCCGACCAGGTGCAGCACATCAAGTCCGAGGTTGCCAACCGCACCAACGGCTCGGTTGTCGTGCCCGTTGGCACCGTCCAACGCATCACAGAGTGGCTCAACCCTGCGATCCGCAAGGAAATGCTCGCCCTCGCCGACGCCTGCGACGTCATCGGCGTCAACATCTACCCGTTCTTTGACAACGGCTACGACGCGCGCGACCCGACCGCTCTTGTGAGAGCACTCTGGGACCAAATGCTGGCGATCTACCCCGCCCAGAAGCTGCGTCTTACAGAGACTGGCTACTCGACCGGCGGCCCGCCGTCGACTGTGGCGCCCCGCGTCGCCCCAAGCCTGGACAACGCGATGGAGTACTACGATGCGCTCATGCAGTGGACGCCGTCGCAGGGCGGTGGCGACGTCTTTTGGTACTCTTTCTACGACCTGCGCGACGACGACACGACGCAACCGGAGCCGCTCGAAAAACACTTTGGGTACTTCTTCGCCAACGGCACCGCCAAGGCCGCGAAGTTCCCGAAGCCCGTATTCCCGCATCTGGTCCCTAGCACGCCACGCAAGTACACAACCACGCGGAAACCTACGCCTCGACCCCTCCCGACCACAGAAGCTCCTGCAACAAGTTCGGTAACTACGACGACGCCA